ACTGGAGCCGGTTCGAGGGGGTGCAGGGCCCAGGGCAGATCAGCTCATGCGGGGACCCTCCCCTGCCCTGAGATTGGTGCGGTGGGTCCCCGCACGAGCTGATATGCCCTGGGCCTGCCTGCTGCTGGCCTCAGGCGGCAGCACCAGCCTCCTGTGATCCAGGAGGCAGATCAGGGGCCCACACCCCCAGGAGCACTCCAGCACAGCCCCTGCAGCCTTTCCAGAGAAGTGACGGGGCCCCATCTGCCTGCTGGATGCCAGGAGGCTAGTGCTGCTGGCTAGGGCCAGCGGCAGCACCAATCTTCCCAGTGCTGGGTGCAGCTACACCCAGTGCTGGCCCCAGTCGGCAACACCAGCTTCCTGTGATCTGGCAGGCAGATTGGGGGCCACAACCCCAGAGGAGTCTGGCACAGCCCTGCAGCTCTCCTGGGGGTGCGGGCGGGCCCCGATCTGCCTGCCGTATGACAGGAGGCTGCAGATGCCAGCTGGGACTGGCGCTGAAGCCAGTAAGCCTGGCTTTGAAACTCAAAACATTTAAAAAGTTTCGAAATGTTTCGAGTGCCCTTGTTTTGTTTTGAAGCTGTTTCGGAGGCTTTTGTTTCTTTTCGATTTTGCTATTTTGAGCTCGAAACACATTGGAACAGCTTTGAAATGAAACACCAGAAAAATTTTGCACGGCCCTAAAGTGTAGATCATCTGGTCTGTATAGCACAGGCCACAGCACCTCAGCCCGACATTTCTGCCTCAGGCACATAACTCCTAGACATCCAGTCTAGTTTGAAAGACAACATGCTTCTCTCCAAGGTCTTTTGATTATTTCTTAATTTTTCAGTCCTGCCCAGTATTTACTCTTCCATTTCCACTGTGTCCTCTGGTTACTCGTGCCAGGGGTTAATTATTCTTACTAGTAAAACAGTTGTGCCCTATTTCTCATCTGAACTTGCCCTGCTGCAGCTTCCAACCATTGAATCCCTCTATGCCTTTTCTATTGGATTAACGAGTGATCTACTGTCAGAAATTTGTTCCCCATTTAGATAATTGCAGACCATGAACAAGGCACCCTTTAACCTTCCTTTGGTTAAATTAATTAAAGTGAGGTTCCCAAGCCTCTTTCTGCAAGCCATGCTCCCAATCTCAAACCCTTCCTGTAGCTCTTTTTCCAAGTTACAGTCCCTTACAGTATTCCACCCTCCTTTTTGAAGTGTGCACTCCAGAACTGGTGACAATTTTATGATGCAGCTTTGAAACCAGCTAAGTGGGCCTGTTACCAACAAAGGCATTAGATTGAGGGCTTGTACATTTGCACTTGACAGCTCAAGGTAAACTCCAGTGATTGATCATGACTAAGACCTTAGAGCATTAAATCAATATTTACTGCTGACTGTACTTAAAATGAATGTCCAATACTGTTTTTAAAGTACTTTTTCAATATCTCCATTCAGTAGTCCTGCCTGTCTCTCAGAGGGATGACTTGGTAACCATGGCACATGACCATGCACAGAACTTACCCCATAACAGCTTGGAAAGTCTCCGATTTTCAAAGCTTAGGCATATAGGAGCAGTCATTCAGAATCAGACCTGTGGATCCTTTATTCCAATAGCCTTCCTCAGGCAGTGGACCAAAGCAGATGTTTTGGAGGGAGGTGTAAAGCAGTAAGGAGATGCCCATATAATATCTAACTATGGAATAACCTGAATACAAGGAATTGTCTTCCCCTGCCTTGTAGGTTTTTCTTCTGAAGATAGAGGGCTCATATTGAAGGAAGGAGATTTCTAACAGGAAAGGTAACTCTCTCAGTTCAGCTCTGCATCATATGACTTTCAATTTGGTTGTTTGTTCATCATTCCCTCTTATTATCTTTTAAACACTTTGGGATGGGAGGGACACAGTTTCTCAGAAAACTATTTTTTGTCATGACCTGTTGTTGTAACTGCTTGTACAGTCCATGCCTGCAGAGATTTAGGCACTCAAATCATAGAATCATAGAAAATGAGGGTTGGAAGGGACCTTAGGAGGTCATCTAGTCCAACCCCCTGCTCGAAGCAGGACCGTCCCCAACTAGATCATGCCGACCTGGTTTTTCATAAAGACATTCCTGAAGATCTGAGCACTAATGTAATTCCATTTTCATTGTAAATGGTTGAAATGAGTGATTTGTTCTTCTCTAGCATGACGTTTTCCTTTGATCAAAAGGCACAGAGATCACTTCCGAGAGAGGGGCTTCATCACCCACCTCCTGGACTGGCACGGTCACTGTCTTTGGAGCTGTCACTAGTTGTCTTGTTTAATACCTTGTGGTAGCTTAGAAATATGGGACTCCCGCTGACATTTCTTGTCTACACTGACAAGGAATGACAGCTCTAACCAGCTGTTAGAAGTTACCCTGAACGACTTTACTCTTCCTAATGCAGTCTCTTAACAGGGGCTTTATCTTGACTCTGAGCAAAGGACAGAGACAGACTTTCGTGGATCAGCTTCATGGCTGATACGATTTACAGTCTGTTTGTTTGTACTCAAAACGGATGGTGGCCTCAAACCTCCATTTTATCATTTGCCTAATATTTCCTTTCCACAACTTTCAATCAGATAGCAGGGAAACTGTGCCAGACCAGGCCCCCTGCTACTGCTCTGACAGTGGCACCTCTTCCCTCCCAGCCAACCAAGGCTTTCTGTGAGTGGTAGCTGCTGGCTGCATTTTTTGCTTTGAGTTGCACTGCAATTTGCATTTTAATGGCCATGTATAGCACTCCCATGGCCCTGTAGGAATATGAGCTGCCTTCCCATATTGGCTTGAGTGTGGGCTCTCCTCCCCTTCTCTTGGCTGGAATATAACAGCCACTAAGGCTACAACACAAAGGCACCCATTGTGCATTGAGATGCAGGGTTAGCACTAGGTTTTAGTTTTATTTTGAAAATCTGCAAAAAGGGGGATCCAGTTATTCTGAACGTATCTGGGTAATTTGCTCCCAATTTAGCTTTCATCTAATATAAGATTGTATTATTTGGCCATTGGCATTGTTATTAAGTTATTCTGCTCATATCCAGATGCTGCATGGTGCTTGGAGCCTGATCAATAATGCATTAATGAAAAGCAAATAAATAAGTGTGTCCCCAAGGAGCTAGAAAAATGCTCCAAATTCCAAGTTTTAAAAAAATGTAACCAACTAAAAAATAAGTAACATCTTGAGGTTTTGGAAAACTGGATCAAGTCTCTTTCATTCTACCCAAATACTTGGGTATCCACATTAGACCAATAAAATAAATAGGAGAGTACAGAGCATGCCCTAGAAAAGCAACCCATGAAGAAAAAACTGCAAAATGCTGAAGAGAAGGATGAAGGTTCAGTGAGGTAACCACTTTCTGTGAAGAAGTGAAGGCAAAATTGTCCCTGCAAAGAGCTGGATTCTATGGGAAATCACATGCCACCATGGACAGGCTGGTGGCCATTGTATTTTAGTATGGGAAGAGTGTTTGTACAGCACCAAGCACAAAGTCCTTGTCAGCTCCAATGCATGATCACAGCATATAATTATGGAAGCGATTAACAGTATTAAGCGACTCCAAGAGTAGCAACTGCTCCAAATGGAGAAAAGCTGTGCTCATGCCCTAATGTACTTAATTATTGGGAACACAGTAGCAGCTGAATGCACAGTGATCAATCCTCACATTTCACACACCCAAAGGCTCAGCTGCATGAAAATATTTCTGAAATAACTTGCTGGATTAACCAGGGATCCCAGGCACATCAGGAAACTCTCATAGGGGCATTTTAAACTGGATTGACTTGGAGGCTATTGACTATAGCAAAAAAGGCTATATTTTCTCAAATACAGGCAACTTCCGCTTAATGCAGTTTCACTTAGCGCTGTTTTGCTACAACACTCATTGGAAATTGATACCTGATTTCACTTAGCGGTCAGCGAGTTTCGTTATAATGCTTGCGGTCACCATCTTGGGTCGTCAAATACTTTTGGTTTTGCTTAATGCTCGTTTTGCTTAATGCTCAGTTTTTCAGGAACCAATTAAGAGCGCTAAGTGGGGTTTGCCTGTATATACCTTTCAAAACTGCTTCCAAGAGATCTTCCCACACAGATATGATGTCCTGTGAGTTTGTGTGGGATTTTGCTTGGGCAGATACAGGCATGTGGAAAAAGGCCTTGGAATCAATTTAGGAGATTTCTTGGAAAACTGACTCTGCAATTTACTAAAAATTGACCCAATTCCAGTTTTTGCCTGGGTTTGTGGTTAATTTATGTGGACTGCTGTGCCCTGTGCACTACCCATGACCCTCAGCCTGGCCTGATGTTTATCTGTGAGAAAAGAGTGCGCATAGAGCCGTCATCCCCCCTTCACTCAGAGATTTCCTGCTCTTCCATAGGCTGGAGAGGACAGAAGTGCAGCCAGCTATAAAGCACATGGCTGCACGTCCCCTCTGCCTAGTTTACAAGTGAAAACAGGCTTGTCCAGCTGCCAACCCAATTCGGTGTCTGAAAACCCGCCTGAGTTGTTTGTGTTTGGTGCATCCTCACTGAGTATAGTTAACTGAGCTGCAATGGACTTCCCAGTCCATAGCCACTGCAGGTCTCATCTGAGGTTTCTAAAGTTGCTTAAGAGATTTGGGTGCCCTTTTCAATCCAAGGGAACTGGAATTGTGCATCTAAAGTCTTCTGGCTTGGAAATTTCAGTCTTAAGTGCCTTTCACTGGTCCTTGTGTGGCTCTTGATTTTTTTTTTTATTATTATTTTTTTTTAATCCTTGGTCTAGCAAGATGATCATAGCTGACCTTGGGTCACATCTACTTCCATAATCACCAGGGACAAATCTCTTTAAGAAGCTAGCACATCCATTTTAGGTTTTTCTGGGCCAGTAGCCCAGATCCTTTGGCCCTGGGCTGGGATAGAGCTCTGCTGACCTTTTGGCTACAGGCACATGTGAGTATATTTGCCTAAGGAATGAACCCAGATCCCATTGTGATTCCTTTGCCTTTCCTTCCCTGCAGTGAACACTCCAGCACCAGAGCCTGTGTGATCTTGGAGCTGAACAATGAAGCTGCTACTTGTTGCCCCTCTCCTCCTGTTTGCCCTAACAATGTTGGAAGCCCGACCAAAGCCTGCAGGTGAGTAGCAGGCTAAAACTGTGTAAATTCTAAGGAGGAGACACTGTGCCAGCTGGATCAGCTGCAGGTGTGTAGGCCTGAGTAACAGAAACCTCTTGGAGTGAGTTAAGACTCAGGGTTCCCCCATATATCACTTGCTCCAAGCTATCAGTATATCACCTCTTGTGTGAATGGGCTGAGCACAAACCCAGTTCCCCATGCCTCCTCACTATCCTTTAATAGCAGCAGTTAAGGAAAGAAAGCAATTTCTAGGAACAAGGAGAGGTGAGTGCTGAACACCTACTCAGTCCCGCTGCAGCATGTGACATGCATTTATGATCTCCATGTGGAGCCAGTGGGAAAATCTATTGCAGTACCAAAACCAGCAAAAGACTCCAAATCATGAGCCCAGATGGGCCCTTCCCAAAGACCTTTGGCACTTAGGAACCACAGAGATTTTGGTGCTGGTTCTGGGCAGCAGACATGGGCACTCTGTGACTGGGTTTAAGACAGGGCAAAATTCTTCAAATGCTCTGGAACACATTCACAGCTTTCTACACGCAGCCCTCTGCCCCTGTGAGCCTGCCTGTACAGAGGGTGTTTTGACGGCTGTGTTTTGGCATGACTTGCCCAATGTAAACCCCTTACTGAACCTCCTTTATCTCCCACTTTATGCTCCAGGGCAGAGGTTTCCAAACTCTTACTTGTTGCCTACCCACTTCCAGATTTACCAGCTACCTGCATACCCCTACCAGCTTATATTTAACCCCTTAAATGCCAATTATTATTATAATGAAAATTAAATCTGACATTATACAAGTTCTCCTGTGTACCTTCCCCCTGCCCCCCCCACCCAAGGTATCTTGCGCACCCCCAGGGGTATACATACCATAGTTTGGGAACCCCTGCTCTAGGGGAAACAGACTGTGGTTGGGCAGATGCCTGAAAAGCCTGACCTAAAACCTAGTTCTGCTGGGCTGACAGTAAGACTCGCACACATCCATCTATTGTCTATACTGCCAGCAACACCATGACATGATTATGGAACTTTTTTAGTACATGTAGACTGATGCTTCTAAGGAGTGACTCTGTCACACATATGTCACGAGTGCAACCAGTTAGAGGTTGCACCTGCAAGGGGCCTAATTCATTGCTAGAGGATTGACTGGCAAACTTAGTAACAGCTTACTCTTATCCTTTGACTCCACTGGCCGGTGCAGAGGGGGCTGTGCCCCTCCCTAAGAGTAGGAAGCCAGGGGTGACCGTTCTGATCCATTCTCTTCCCTTGCTCTGCAAAACTTAAAGGTTTTTGGTTCATCCATATATAGTAGGGAGACAAATAGATATAGAGATGGAAGGAGTTTATGGAGAGACAAAAAGAGAGAGAGAGAGAGAAACATAGACATTTCTGCAACCAAGTTTATAGTTTCATAGTTGGTAGGGTTGGAAGGGACCTGAGCAGATTATCAAGTCCGACCTCCTGCCATGGCAGGACAGAGCACCGGGGTCAAATGACCCCGGCGAGGTGTTCATCCAGCCTCCTCTTAAAGACCCCCAGGGTAGGAGCCAGCACCACTTCTCTTGGAAGTTGGTTCCAGATCCTAGCCGCCCTAACTGTGAAGTAGCGCCTCCTGATGTCTAGTTTGAATCTACCCTCTGCCAGCTTGTGACCGTTATTTCTAGTCACTCCTGGTAGTGCTCAGGGGAACAGAGACTCCCCCAATGCCTGCTGGTCCCCCCGACCAGTTTGTAAATGACCACTAGATCCCCCCTCAGCCTTCTCTTTTGGAGGCTGAACAGGTTCAGGTC